TATACCATTGTGTCATTGTTCAATTGCAAGGGCTCAAGTATAATTGCACTATATTCAATAGTGCAAATAGAGAATTGATAGTAGCTCTGAAAAACATTAAATCACTCCACCCAGGATGAGGTTCGAAAACCTTAATATGGTGCTCTTTCTTTTTGTTTAATTCTCTAATCTTTCTTAATGGATTTTTACTACTCAACGATGAGTCTATCATGGCAGATTTCAATCTTAACCTTAGGATAAAGGAATTAAACTTAAAAAGTACGTGTCCGTTGGGATTAGTCCACACAGAGTTTAAATACGATGCCCTGCAAACCTATTCTTACCCTCATTAAGCTTTTTAAAATTTTATTACCTTGTAACTCCAGACACTTATTGAGTGTTTATATGATAAACCAACACAGAGTATTGCACAATTATGGAAAGATAATTCTACATTTTTTTTTAGGTATTTTTATTCATGATTTCATACATAAATCTGAAAGGTCTGTTTTTGTTTTTTTTTGTTTTTTTTTTGCATTTACAGAGCCATATCTTTTGGTGTATACATTTCTAGCAGTTTGTAGTTCTAGAAACGGGGAGTTTTGCTCTCTGCTCACACTTAGTCATCTTGTTCCAACAGATTCTTAATCAGGTTAAGTTGTGGGTCATCTTATCTGAACCGTCCCACCGTAGTTCTGGTTTTAGGTTCATAGATACTGTCCTGAAAGTTAAACCTCCTAAAACTATTTCAAATTTCCTCCTGGATTCACATGAATTTAGCTCCATCCCTCTTTCCATTCCCTCTAATTGCATCCTCACAGCATGATACCGTCACCAGCTTTTAAATATGGAGATGGAATGTTTAGGATGATTCTCATAGTTAATTCTAGAAAACATGTGACCTCTGTTGATCATCTTTTTTCACAATTACCTACTCCCCCACACAGTACACTGTAGACAGTAATGCTTTTTCTGGTTTCACTTCAACAATCCATTTTCAGATAACAATTTTAACAGTTTCCCTTTACATCTTCATCTTCAAAGCTTGAGGTATTTTTTTATGTCCTGCTTTGAACATTTTGACAACTTTCTCCCTGGGCTGTCTGCTGTTTCCCTTGGTTTTCATGAAGCTGTCTGTTCTCTAAAGATCTCAAACAAATATAGAAAAAAAAAAAACTCTGCACATTAGTTTATTGTTAGATCAATCGAGTATTTCGGTCCATTTCATAATTTATATGAGGCCCAGGATTCAGTTTACATTTGTAGCTCACATTTAAGTCAGAACTTAACTTAAAGTTACTGTCAGTTTAAATTTAATTCTGTCATATATAGATGGCAGCTGTTTTCAGCTATTTCTATTTAACTTTAAAAACATTTAATTTGAATATCTGATCATTTAACTTCCTCAGTTAGACAGTTTACTATCCAGTTCTCCATTTTATTTTATTTTTTTCCTGTATTGCGTTAATTTGTCCAGAAAACCTCTTATGCTTCCTTCAGTAAATCCAAAACTTTCATTTCCCTTAATCTTTGCTGACTGCAATGAATATTGCGCCACCTGCAGGACTCTTTTGTACTATAAAGTGATGCTCCATCAGATTTGTTAAACTTCCTTTTGCTTTTTTCCTCTTCCAATGGACCCTGTTTGTCATTTTAGTTGTGTTCCCAAGCTGATCTTCATTTTTTTGTTATCTTCCACTTCAGTTCAATGATATATTCTCACTATGAAACATCCTTGGGCATTAATTATTTTTTCAGAGTGTTATACTTCCCTATAAAAACTGAAAAAAATAATTTTAAGAACTAATATATTCATATATTTGTTTGGTAGCTTACTTTTCCTCTACCATCAAACAGAATCACAAACCTCTCTTTCCAGCCTAGAGTGATTGCATCTATTTACCTAACATGAGGGAATACTGTATATTGTAATAAACTTCACATTCTGTTAAATGGTTTCATTTAGATTATTAACTATATAGATGTAAGGTCTATATACTGTATTTATACAGGCTTTCAATGAGCAAACTGTTAAATTGAATAATAATAGTACTGATTGGACAGCATTAACTGAAATAAAACAAATTAGCATTTCATCAAATGATTTCCTTATCTAAAGATAAAAAAAAGTGAACTCTTGTGTTGAATTTGTTCTCACAGTAAACCCCAGAATGTGATTTTATTATAGAGAGCAGAGTCAGGAGGAGAAGGACCTGAGGCCAGCAGTGGAGTCACCGTGCAGGGTCTGCACAGGTGAATAAAGAAGAAAAGTAGTAACACATCTATGGGTTAATAGTTAGTTTCATGTTAAGGGAGGAGATGGACCAGAGGGAGGAGTTATTGAGAATGATGTAGGGTCTTTCAGGTAAGGACAGATTATGACTTCCTGATAATACTGTTCTTATAGCAGGAAGAAACCATGCAGATATTATGAATAGTTTTTTACAGATATTATATATTGTTCTTAAATAGAAATATTAGACTTGTCTTGAAAATAAAAATAATCTTATAATATGTACAAAGTAAAAAATAAAATGTTTATATTAATGTATTGTAAAAAGCAGAATGAAACAAAAAGGAGGTTAACCAGGGTTCAAACAGGGACAAATAATCATTTATACAGTGAGTTAGATTTGCAGCTGGGTGTTAATTAAACAAATGACATCATCAGTGAGCTGAATGGGCTGTTTGTATTTCTGTCATTTTCTATTCTAGATACTGGTCAGACCAGGTCGGATACAGCAGTTATAGTGGAGGTCTGCTTATAAATGAGATAAAGTTTGTCAATAACCTTAAAGCACTTTCGTTTGTTTTCTGTACAAATTCACAAATCATTCTGAAGCATTTCTAAGTTGGTCACTTTTAATGTAGGCGTAACAACATTTTAGCTGGTTAAAAAAACGAAAAACAAAAAAAAAACAAAAACACTGTGTTAAGTACTTTTCTCAATCCAGCTGGTGGCCAAAAAAGTTTTCCCCACTGTTGGAAAATAAAGTCATTTCTTACAATAAAATACAATACACATACAATCAAGCCCAGACAAAGCAAACTCTCTGCTTAAGGTCCCCTGACCTGTAGGGTGGCCTAAAGAGAAACCCACACAATAGATTCAAATATTAATAACAAGTTTACAGATGTGTATAGATTATTTAGACTTATACTTAAATAAACTTTATTGGCATTTTGTATGCAAAGAGTGTATACAAAACAGAATTCCGTTGCATACAGCTTACAAAAGTGTAATAATATTGCAGTTGGAGTAAGATAAACATTACCAATTTACACAAGAACCCTTTTCTTTTCTTTTTTTTTTTTTTTTTATCATTTTGGCTTAAACAAATACATCAGGGCAAAAATGAAATATGTTTAAAAGAAATATGGGCTTAAAAATGGTGTTTAATATATGGCTAGAGGTTATTTTTTAAAAGGTACCTTTAAAAATAAAGTTGGCTTTACTGGACTGTACTGGATCCATTCGGAAACGTAGAGCATCAAATCACCTGACTCAGCAAAATGAGTCAGAAGAATAACTTTAACAAAGTAAAAGTTGTCAACTTTTAAGAGAAAAATAAGTTTTTGAACATCCTGCTATTTTGCAAGTACTTTAAAATTATTATTATGGAGGGATCTGAAATTGATATCGTGGCTGCATGTCTCAACTCCATTTATTATCCTAAATTAGATTCACCTGTTTCGGGTCATTAGCTGTATAAAGACACCTGTCCACAGTAAGAATCCAACTACTAACATGGCCAAGACCAAAGAGCTGTCCAAAGACACTAGAGACAAAATTGTACACCTCCACAAGGCTGGAAAGGATTACGGGGGAATTACCAAGCAACTTGGTGAAAAAAGGTCCACTGTTAGAGACACCATTAGAAAATGGAAGAAGCTAAACTGGGACTGGGTCTCCATGCAAGATCTCACCTTGTGGGGTCTCAATGATCCTAAGAAAGGTGAGAAATCAGCTCAGAAATACATGAGTAGAGCTGGTCAATGAACTGAAAAGAGCGGGGACCACCGTTTCCATAGTTACTGTTGGTAATATACTAAGATGGTTTGAAATCTTGCATGGCACAGAAGGTTGCACACAGCCAAGATAAACAAGGAGTGGCTCTGTGAGAAGCATATCAAGGTTCTAGCATTGCCTAGCCAGTCTCCAGCTCTAAACCCAATAGATAACCTTTGGATGTAGCTCAAAATCCGTGTTTCTCAGCAATAGGCCAGAAACCTGACTGATCTAGAAAAGATCTGTGTGGAGGAGTGGGCCAAAATTCCTACTGCAGTGTGTGCAAACCTGGTGAAAAACTAAAGGAAACGTTTGACCTGTATAATTGCAAACAGAGGCTACTGTACTAAATATTAACAATGATTTTCTCAGGAGTTCAAATACTTATTCGCAGCTGTATCA